CTACTCGGGAGGCTGAGTCAGGAGAATCACTTGAACCTGAGTAGCGGAGGTTGTAGTGAGCCGAGATTGTGCCACTGCACTCCAGCCTGGGCCACAGAGCAAGACTCTGTCTCAAAAGAAAAAAGAAAAGAAAGGGAAACAAGAAAGAAAACCCGAAGCCCCACATCTTGGGAACTCCCTAACTAGAGCTCATATTCATTTGTCCCTGTGGTAGGCAATGGCTAAGGGACCTGGATTCCTATGTTTGTGACCTTGTAAGGACACTGTTTTTCCCCTTCTTGCAGCCATGCCAGTGACGGTAACCCGCACCACCATCACGACCACCACGACGTCGTCCTCGGGCCTGGGGTCCCCCACGATCGTGGGGTCCCCTCGGGCCCTGACACAGCCCCTGGGTCTCCTTCGCCTGCTGCAGCTGGTGTCTACCTGCGTGGCCTTCTCACTGGTGGCTAGCGTTAGCGCCTGGACGGGGTCCATGGGCAACTGGTCTATGTTCACCTGGTGCTTCTGCTTCTCCGTGACCCTGATCATCCTCATCGTGGAGCTGTGCGGGCTCCAGGCCCGCTTCCCCCTGTCTTGGCGCAACTTCCCCATCACCTTCGCCTGCTACGCAGCCCTCTTCTGCCTCTCTGCCTCCATCATCTACCCCACCACCTACGTCCAGTTCCTGTCCCACGGCCGTACCCGGGACCACGCCATCGCCGCTACCTTCTTCTCCTGCATCGCTTGTGTGGCTTATGCCACCGAAGTGGCCTGGACCCGGGCCCGGCCCGGCGAGATCACTGGCTACATGGCCACCGTGCCCGGGCTGCTGAAGGTGCTGGAGACCTTCGTGGCCTGCATCATCTTCGCGTTCATCAGTGACACCAACCTGTACCAGCACCAGCCAGCCCTGGAGTGGTGCGTGGCGGTGTACGCCATCTGCTTCATCCTAGCGGCCATCGCCATCCTGCTGAACCTGGGGGAGTGCACCAATGTACTGCCCATCCCCTTCCCCAGCTTCCTGTCGGGACTGGCCTTGCTGTCTGTCCTCCTCTATGCCACTGCCCTTGTTCTCTGGCCCCTCTACCAGTTCGATGAGAAGTATGGCGGCCAGCCTCGGCGCTCAAGAGATGTAAGCTGCAGCCGCAGCCATGCCTACTATGTGTGTGCCTGGGACCGCCGACTGGCTGTGGCCATCTTGACAGCCATCAACCTACTGGCGTATGTGGCTGACCTGGTGCACTCTGCCCGCCTGGTTTTTGTTAAGGTCTAAGACTCTCCCAAGAGGCTCCCATTCCCTCTCCAACCTCTTCGTTCTTCTTGCCCGAGTTTTCTTTATGGAGTACTTCTTGCCTCTGCCTTTCCTATGTTTTCCTCTTCCTGTCTCCCCTCCCACCTTTTTCTTTCCTTCCCAGTTCCTTGCACTCTAGTTCTTGGATGCATCTTCTTCCTTCCCTTTCCTCTTGCTGTTTCCTTCCTGTGGTGTTCTGTTGCCCACATCCTGTTTTCACCCCTGAGCTGTTTCTCTTTTTCTTTTCTTTTTTTTAAGACGGAGTCTCACTCTGTGGCCCAGGCGGGAGTGCAGTGGTTGAATCTTGGCTCAGTGCAACCCCCGCCTCCCGGGTTCAAGCAATTCTCCTGCCTCAGCCTCCCAAGTAGCTGGGAGGACAGGTGTGAGCTGCCGCACCCAGCCTGTTTCTTTTTCCACTCTGTTTTTTTTTTTAATCTCTTTTCTGGGTTTCCTGTTGGCTTTCTTAACTGCCTGTTTCCCAACCACCTTCTCCTATGTCCTTGGGAGCCCTGAGACTTCTTTCTCTTCCTGCCTCCACCCACCTCCAAAGGTGCTGAGCTCACACATCCACACCCCTTGCAGCCGTCCATGCCACAGCTCCCCAAGGGGCCCCATTGCCAAAGCATGCCTGCCCGCCCTCGCTGTGCCTTAGTCAGTGTGTACGTGTGTGTGTGTGTGTGTGTGTGTTTGGGGGGTGAGGGGTGGGTAGCTGGTGATTGGGTCCCCTTTCTCCCAGTGGAGGAAGATGTGCAGTGGACTTCCCCTTTAAGTTAAAAATATATATACACATATATATGTGTGTGTATATATATTTTTTATATATATATATATTTGGAGGTCAGTAATTTCCAATGGGCAGGAGGCTTTAAGCACAGACCCTGGGTCCCTAGGCCCTGCCTGGCACTCAGTCTTGCCAGAGATCGGCTCCAGAATTTTTGCCAGGCTTACAGAACACCCACTGCCTAGAGGCCGCCTTAAAGGAAGCAGGGGCTGGATGCCTTTCATCCCAACTATTCTCTGTGGTATCAAAAAAAAA